TTCCTCCAAGCTTTGTATTCTTGTCTATCCATCTTTGATCGTGTCATGTAAGGTTCCTTATCAGCATCAGTCATCGACTTCCATTTCTCCAACACATCATTTTTCACCTAATATTAAGCATAAACGTTTCTTAATCAATACATTAATGCTAAATAATACTCAATGTCAATTTCATTTTACATACTGAACCGATGTGATTGCCAACTTCCTTCATCATTTGGCATTCGGTCATACTATCAACATTTAAAATTTGTAATCAATTTAAAGTTCTTAAATACTTTAATCCAATTATCATTTCAACAATAATAACAAAAACACATTGATACTTACTAGAAGTACATATATCCACCCTTTGGTTGCTTTCGACTCTCGCCTCAATTTCAAATTCATCTTCGCCACCAAAAATTTCAAAATCCGTTGACTTCAATTTTCCTTCATATATCAGTTTACACAAATCAAAATCAAATACTGGTTACATACACTTTATTCAATATGCAAATATCGATAACTACTCTTGTAGTAAAACGGTTTCCTTCAAAAGAATTTGAATGGTCACTACTATAAGTATCGACACATTTATACAACCTACAATATCATTTCTACCTATAATATTATATACAACTAGCGATATTTATTTTCTACCTATAATATTATATAATTGGCCCCAAATCCTTCTTGGCTTCGATTCAAAATCCCCAAACTAAACCCAAAAACCCTAATCCCTATTTCCTTCAAACGAATGGGAACACTCAATACTCCAAGTATCAGCACATTTATACAACCTATAATATCATTTTCTACCTATAATATTTAATAAAAGTATCGATATTTATCATCTACCTAGAATATCGCTTTCTACCTGTAATCGGTCCCAAATGCTTCTTTACTTTGAAAACCCCAAACAACACATAATACCCCAATTTCCTATTAATGTAATAATAAAAAAAACTAGGGTTTCGACAACATACTTTTTGATTCTGCTGCAGCAACAAACAAACACATTTCGCTTTAAAAACGCCTTCTGAAATGTAGCAACAATTACGCTTCGATTTCTCAAAAACTCGGTCGTGTTCTATCTATTTCAGAGGAAATTTAGCTATGCCCTTTATATTTTAACCGGATATGTTATTTATATTTAATCGATACAATTACCAAAGTGTCGATACTTTTATGTCAGGTGTCGATACTTTCGATAGGATATTTACCTATTTCTTTAAAAAGTATCGATAATTTATTATGCGTACTTATTAAAGTATCGACACTTTCAACATATCCAGTAGCGCTTTACTGATTTTATCATAATAAAACCTGTTTTGTCATAGTTTTACCTATTATATTGTTATGGGTCGATACATTTTTATAAAGTACCGACACTTTATAGGCGATGTTACTACTTCTCTTTTAAATTCCAAAAGTGTCGATACTTATTTCAATGGAATCAACACTTTCAACATATCCGATAGTGTTTTACCAGTTTTGTCATAATGATACATGTTTTATCATATTTTTACCTATTATATTGTTATGGATCGATATATTTTTATAAAGTATCGACACTTTATAGGCGCTATTACTACTTCTCTTTTAAATTCCAAAAATGTCGATACTTATTTCAATGGTATCGACACATTCAACATATCCGGTAGCGATTTACTAGTTTTGTCATAGTGAAACCGGTTTTGTCATATTTTTATCTGTTATACTGTTATGGATCGATACATTTTTATTTGTATCGACACTTTATTGGCACTATTACTGCTTCTCTTTTAAATTCCAAAAGTGTCGATACTAATTACAATCTAATCGATACTTTCAACATATCTGGTAGCGCTTTACCGGTTTAGTCATAACGAAACTAGTTTTGTCATATTTTTACCTGTTATATTGTTATGGATCGATACATTTTTATTTGTATCGACACATACCGACAAGCTTAGTTTGCCGGTTGCCAAATTTTTTAATATTTCTTCATGATTTCCACCTACAACATTATTATTACTCAACATTTCCAGCAGCGCTAAACCGAATTTGTTAAATATCTTATAATGTATCTGGTAATGCCGTATATTAATCTGTCTTTCCTGAGACAACCCCGGAGAAAACATAAAGTTGAAACTTTAAACTTATATCTTCACAACTTATAGGGTAAATTTCGTATTTGGTCATCCATCTATTTTTTGTGTTTCTATTTTAAACATATAATTATTATTTTTCAAAATCATATACAATGTTATATTTTGCTTTTATTTTAATTAGCGGGTCGTAAAATCTTAATGAAGACGGTGCAATGAGATTTCTTATTAAAGGAGGATTCACATCACTCTTGTTCTTTGAGGTAGAAGGGTACTTGATGCTTGGTGGATACGGAATCGAGGTCGTGTAACGATTTTAAAATCTTAAGTCAATTGTTCTAAACACTGATTAAGTCATTCGATCTATCCATCTGTCTCACGATGGTAGATTGTGCTAAAAAAATATATGGTGCCAAGTTGTTTCATTAGCTCCTTCCAAAAAAATGCTAGTAAAATGCTTATCTTGATTAGAAATGGTTACCTTCGGTAATCATGGAGCTTATAAACTTGGTCTAAATAAGTCCTTGCTACCTCTGCTACAGTGTAGGGATGAGCCAAGGATAAGAAATGGCCATATTTAGTGTACTTCTCAATAATAACAAGTATGCAAGTAAATTGTTCCCTTTGAATTATTTTTGTATTCAATGTAGCTCTTAAACATTAAAAAATTAATATGATTTTTTGACCAACGGTTTTTATCATTTATCGTTACCATACTAGTGTGGCGGTCTATGGTGTTAATGTGACAGTTCACAATGACTAGTGATGTGGTTGATGATGTGGCAAATGGGCTAAATTGCTTTTTTTAGGATTTCGAAAGCCAAATTGATTTTTGTAAAGATCAAGGGCAAATTTGATTTTTCAGAAAAATATAAAAATATTTTAAATTTAAAATATAAAAATATTCAAAAAAATTTTAAATTTAAAATATTTAAAAATGAAATTATTAAAAAGTTAAAAATATATATTATTATTATTTACCTCGAATTTAAGCTGACTTTTATTTATATAAACTTGAACTCGTTCATCCTGCATAAATTTTAATTTATATATTTACCTCTAATTATCTTAAACTCCAAATGTCTTTCCAATTATATTTCACTATTTTTTATAAAATTAAATAAAATAAATATTATAACGTCTTATAAGAAATAAATTTTAAAAGTTACATAATTAAAATTTATTTATAAATTATCATGAAACTATATAATTTTAAAAACATAAAAAGTATTTATACATTAAGATGAGCATTTTAGTGAATATAAATGATGGAAGGAAGTAAACTTCTTCTAAATTTAATCTAAAAAAGTTTAATAAGAAAAGCGACCTATGCTGCCAATTTATGTTAGATACAAGTCTATAAAGTTTAAGTTGGATATGGACTCCACCTGATTAAGGGTTTTTTTTTTGTTATCCTCAATATTTATTTTTAAATTTTTTTAAGGAATAACAAATTCGTCTCTACAAAATAAAAATAAAATAAAGCTCACATTAGAATTGATATGTGTGAACATAACAATGTAATTATACTACATAAAATAAAACTCAGATTACAATTTGCCTCTAAATTAAATGAATCGTTTAAAAATAAAATTTTCAATCACAATGGTTAATATATATATATATATATATTAGTAATTTAATTTTTATTTTTAGTATTTTATATTTAATTTTTTATATTTTTATATATTAAAATTTAATTTTTAAATGTTGTTCTAAAAAAATTAAATAAGTTCCTGAACTTTAAAAAAAATCAATTTGGTTCTCAAATTCGATTAAAAATCAATTTAATTCATCTGTCACATCACTAGCCATTATGAAATGTCATGTCAGTATCCTAGACCATTAGTACTGTGAAATGCAACATTAACATTGTAACGATCAACGACGAAAATTGTTGGTCTTTTTTTAAGTTTGAGGGTCACGTTGAGTGCAAAAATAATTCAAGGGCTATATTGGTTTTTTCTAAAAAAAAGTTTAAGGGCCGCAGGTACCTTTTTACCTATTTTATTGAGTTAATTCTATCAGTTAATTCCATCATATATCCTCAAACTATATCCTTTGTTCTAAATTGGTCCTCAAACTTTTTCAACATTTCAATTTCATAATACTAAATCTCTAGGCCAAGTTATAATATTATATATTCTAAAAAAATAAAACTTAGGTTAAACTATGGTTAAACTTAGTTATATATTTAGATGAATTTGGGGATGAAAATGAAATATTTATAAGTTTAGGGACCAATTTAGAATGAAAGTCATAGTTTGAGAATGAAATTGGAATGTTCAAAACTTTAAGGACTAATTTAAAATGAGTATCATAGTTTGAGGATGAAATTAGAATATTAAAAGGTTTAAGGACCAAATTAAAACGAGTGCTATAATTTAGGGAAATATAATGCAATTAACTCTTTTATATTAAATCTATATGTGGATAAATTGACAAGAATTTGCATTAATGACATGGGGTAATTCAACATCTTTATTGTAGCTGTGGTCTTTATTTCAGGAGTTGCGGAACTATTGCATATTACATGCAGATCTTAACATGGTACAGATTTCATTTTTAGTTTGGGGTTATGGTTATTGAATTGCATTAAATCTGATTTTATCAGTGACACAAAATAACCAGTTGAGGACACATTAAAGGTTGAAAATTAGCACTGGTTTGGACCACAAATGTTAACCCATTTTGGATTGGACTAAAGTTGCCAGTCCTATCACCAATAACATGGAACTGGTCCCCCCATCCCCCACATGGCTCGACCCAAATTTTGTCTCAGGTCACATCCCCGGGATATCAGCCCAATCAGTAACCTCTATTATTTCCAAATTTCTCACATTTCTCCATTACCATTCATTCACAGCACCCAATAAAAAGAGTAAGGTCATTCTGATAAAAGAAAAGGAAAGAGTAAGCTCAGGAACATGAGATAATCACCAGCTTTGATGAGCCATATATCATCTTCCCTAATCTTGTAAAACCAAGTAGTGATGAAGAAGAGAATAAAAATGAGACAACAAAAACACACGGTAAAGAGATGGTGCTCTCTCTAAATACACGACATAGTTAAGCCTTAAACATCATCTTCATGTGAGCCATAAACCGTAAACCTTAGGCCTTGACGCAACAGCTGAAGTAGTTGAGGATTCTCCTCCTCGTCTGTCAAGAAAACATCAAAGGAAAAAAGATTAAAAAATGATCCAACTAAGCAACTTCCCCACCAGCCTAGCACATGCATGCCACCAAAGTTGATATCTTTAGCAACCAACCAAAATTAGATAATTTAGTGGAAGAGGGGAATCTTACAGATGGGGAGTGATGATTTTGAGGGAAATTGTGGTGATCATCACTAGGAGCAGTGCTGCTGACACTGGTGGCGGTTGGATTAATGAAGTCATCTTCATTTCCAAGACTGGCTCTTGAAACATCCCTCTTGTTTTGCTTCCTCATTTCCCTGATTTTTGAGAAGTCAAGAGAGTAATCTGGGAGCTGTCCCTTTTGATCCCAGTCCCCAAATTGAGGTACTGAAAGCCATGGAGCATTTTTCTACATCAATTTCAAAACCCAAAGAACCCAATATCAATGCTTGCTTTCATTAAAACATAGGAGGTCAACAACCATTAACACAAAGCATTCAATAAAAGAGTAGAATGAACTGTTCCCTCTGGAATTCGGTAGGAACAATGCTCAAAGAAAATATTTCTTGAGATTATCAATTTTTCTTCTGTAGAATTGAGTTACTTTCACCTTTTGATATTGGAATAGTAAACAGAAAACGAAAGCCCCCCACAAATTTACTACTCCATACACTTTGTAATTGTAAAATTAGAATACTTTTCATCAATCAGTAGACTAGTAAATGTTCAACTCTGCAAAAAGACAAGAAATTATTTTGCTGTAAAGAAAAGAAACTCTAAATGACTAAAGACTCCAACTTCAAACGATTATCAGGTTTAAAATCACCGAACTTCATATCCAAGAGTTAAAAATCCAGCGGAAAAACAAAGAACACACCTCCTTGCGATCTTCCATGCTTGATATCAATAGAACAAAAATGATGTTCCCAAGGTTTGAAAGAGTAAATTTAGAAAGCAAAATGGTCAACTGCTAAAATCAAAGAGAAGGAAGGAATTGTGGTGGGGATTGATGGAGGTCTTGGGAATATAAATACAGCAGAATGACAGCACCGATTTGGGTCTCTGATTGCAACACTAATCAGCACGTAATGACACGCTTTACCTACGTGGTTTCTTTTAGCTTGAAGTACATGGGCCTTTTGGGTTTTTGCCTTAATTTGGTTGAGGTTGCTATGCTAGCTGTCTCAACGTTTATCCGCAACACGGTTTATTGGGATTTGAAAGGGGATGGTTCTTTTTACTTCATTTCATGCTCAAATTAATTTAATTCTCATTCTTCATTGGGAAATTGAGGGAATACACGAGATAAAAGGGTGATTCGACATGTTAGATATCATAGAAAAATAATTACAGATCCTACTACTTACTCCCATACCAGCGAGCCAAAATTAATATATACACACTGACACGAAGATATGATCACGTTATATAATATAAAATTATTTTAGTTTTATATAGATTTAGGATCGTTGGATGAGTGAAAATAGATGGATTAAATTAACAATAGGAAGTGAGAAAATATTTACTGAAAAAATAAGGAGTTAATCTCATCCATATATATTTTCACTCATTCAATGATCATGAATCTGAGTAAAACTAAAGAATTTTACATAAGAGGATTCTAATATATATATATATATATATATATATATATATAAAGAATGAACTCATATTTTTTAGACTAAAGGGTAATAGTTAATTTTTAATTTAGAGTTGGACTAAAAGTAAAATAAGTATTTATTATATTTTGACCTAAATTATAATTAGTGATTATGTTAAATTTTACTATAATTATAGTGGTTGAAGATTATTTTTTAATTAAAATAAGTATTTATTTTAGGCAAGAGAATGATTTGGGATATCCTCGATTTTAGAATATATGCCAAATTCTGAGATACATGGGATATTATGTATTTATATCCTTCATGATCTCTACATTGTAGTATATTATTGTTTTTCTTGCTGTTGAGGTAGGAAAGATTGAACCATGTTAATTTTTATATCTTTATCTATGGCTTTGGTTATTGTAAGTGTATTGTAATAAAAATGACAATTTTAGTGAAAGGAGATGAGATGAGATAATAAAGATAAATTTTATTTAAGGATAATTATAGTGTTCGAATTGGATTGTAAATCTTATTTAAATTTTTTTGAATAGAAGTCGTTAGTTTTATTAAAAAAATGAATATCTAAAATTACAATAAGAGTTTACAACTATCGTAAACCAGATAAATAATTTAGACATTTTCCTATAAGATTAAACTAGTCACTTTAGATCATATAAGGACATAACCAAAAGACTCGAACAAAGAATAGATATAAGCAAATATGAATGCATCGACAGACAAACGAACCATAAGGGGATTAAGCTATTGAAATACCACCGAGAACGATAAATCAGAGTCGTGTATCGTAAAAAATTATTCACGATCGCAAAACCGCGTATCTAAATTCAATTCGAGGATCCATAGAAGGGAAGATCAACTGGATTACTAACGGTGTCGTCAAATTCAACCCTGAGAAAACATAAAATAAAAAGAACGACCAAACAAACGAAAATAAGATGAAAAATGTGCCACAAAAGTAGAGAAAAATGTGTCATAAAGGCAGAGATAAACATGCCACAAAGGCATAATTATTCTTATTAAAAAACTAAAAAAAGAAGCAAAGAGAGAAGAGAACCGGAGATCGACAACCAGTATCAAAACCGGTGTTGCCGCCGGTTAAACAAAATCAAAGAAGAAAAAGTTGATATGATCTATAGGAAACGATATAAACTCTTGTAGAAACTCGTTTTGTCTGGGTCGAAACCGTTATTATTATTATTATTAATTATTTTTGTTTTTATTTGTATTTGTATTTGTATTTTTGTTTTTATTTTATTTATTTCTTTTACAGGTCAATTACAACATGCACAAATTGGGCCCAATTACAACTCAGAAGGCCCAATCGAAACCCAAACAAACCCTACAGCAAGCCCAAAACCCCATCCCAACAAAACTTAACAACTAGGGTTTCCAGCCGCCGCCAACAAAAGAAGTCTCTCACCGTTTTGGTTACCGGTTCCCATCATCTGACAACCGTCGTTTCAACTACTCATCATCATAATTTCTACAAATAGTGAAAAATGTCATCCAACTAAACCTAATCTACCGAAACCCAATAAAAAAAGAAGGGGTTAAATCCTAAAAATTCGGATAAGTAATGCTTGGGATTTAAGGAAATCATCATCCCTATGCCAATAGCTTCACCAAACACGCAAAGGAGAGGATATAACACAAAGGAAAACAAAAAAGAAAATGTTCTTACCTTGGTTCGGGGTTTACTGGAAGCCAAAAGTCACTGGAGTTCGAAATTTTCGAAAGGTATAACGTTAGATCTAAGCATTTTGGTTGAGTTTTAGGGGAAATGGACAAATATTCGGGTTTAAAAAAAAGGGGAACGTTTTAGGTTCGTCTGGAGTTTTTCGATCAACGTCGCTGGTGGCTAATGACGGTTGTCAACGCCGGTGGGCGGCAACATTGTCTCCGGTGAGAGGGGTGTTGAGAGAATTTCTTCTCTCAATTTCCTTTATTTTTGACTGAGGATGAAAAAATGAGGGCTTGTTAAAAATTATAATGGAATATATATATCGCTGCCAAAACGGTAGCATTTAGGGGCTAGGGCAGCCCGTCTCTCAGCGCATAGGATATTTAGGTAAGGGTCCATCCAGTTTTGATTTAATTCATTTTGGTCTCCTAATCTAGTTTTTCAATTTTCCAAATTTGACACTTTATTCTGTGTGCAGTTCATTTTGATCCTATGTACTAGATCATTTTAATTTATTTTGTTTTCTTTCATTTTTATTGTAGTTTGAACACTTTTTTATTTTGGTCTCCAAGTTTATATGTTTTAAGTTCTTTCTTGTTTACGTATTTGACATATTTTTCTCAAAACTTTCATTTTACTCACATGCTTGTTTATGGATAAATCATGATTCCAGTGCATGCTCTTTGCTAGGTATACATATATTAATTTATAATTTGATAATTATGATTATTTTACATTTAACATATAAGGCATAATACATGTTTGGCACTTTCCTAATACATTAATTTTAGCTCTCTTGCATTAAATTTATCATAATAGATTATTTAATTCATGAATATGAAATGTACCCATTAAATTTATCGTAATACATTAATCTTTAGCTCTCATCATCTTCAAGAATGTCCTTTATTTTAAGATGTTTGTAGATACGTACATTAATTTTATTAGGTAAATATAAAATATTAATGCATTGCTTAAAGTATGTTCCAAAGTAATATATATGCGCATGTCCTCACTTGAACATATAGATCTAGGTTCTTTTATTCATTTATGTGGCATCCATTAATTAAATTGTATGAAACCCTCATAAGCACAACTTGAATCGAACCGAAATAATTTGAATAAGGGTAATATTATTTCATTTTAAAGTTGTTGTGAAGTGACTGTTTTAACATATAAGAAAGTTGTTTTCGATAATTTTAAAATGAAAGTGTACCCCATTAAGTGAAACCTTAAAAATTGACTACACGTAAAATTCATGAACGAGAGAAAATAAGTTTTCTTCTATTTAAATATATCGAGAAAAGATCGTTAGAACTTATAAAAGGTAAGATCTCGATGTCTTTAAATAATCAAATATCCTTATTCTTTCTAAAAGGATTGATAATTCGTATTTAATTAACTTTTGTCATCATTCATGCATTCAAATTAACAATGAATTTTATAATGAAATAGTAATATTTCTCTATTTCGATTGGAGTAAGAAATGACTGCTCTAAGGCATGAGAGGCATTTTCTTCTGGATAGAAAATAATTAAATATTATTGTTTTCCTATCCTAAAATTCAAGGAATGTGTTTAAAAAAAGTATCTCAGATTTAATTTGTTTAATTTAATTTTATTTTTATTTATGTATTTGAATTTGGAATTAATAATGAACTTTAGAATAAAATTGTAATATTTTTTATTTGGATTGGAGTAGGAATTGATTGCTTTAAGGCATTAGAGGCCATTTCTTCTCGATAAGAAATAATTAAATATTAGCATGTTTCGTCCTAAAATTCAAAGAATATTATTTTTATGAGATCTTGAATTAAATTAAACTCGAACTTGTAAGATTCATTGCATAGACAACTAATTAGTCGAGTACTGATTTAGGACGCTATGAGGGTGATAATCCTTCTCCACGCGTAACTGACTCCTGAACTCTAATTTTTGGTAACGCATAACGTAAATTTGTTGTTGTAATTAAAATTAATATTTTTATTAAAATGTCAAATATGTTTTTGGGTGCCCAATCACACCCTATTCAAAGATTGGTGGCGACTCATCGAACCATGTTTTATTTTGTTTTTTAAAAATAGACCTCAAATTAATAGAGGCGAGATTTTTTTAATCACTTAAAAAAATAAATTTCTTTTTTTAAGAAAAATCGTTTCGACAGATTGACGATTCCACTGGGGACTATTTTTTAGAGAGTCAAGTCATTAGTCAATTAATTAATTGTTTTTGTAATAAAAATTAAAAGTTTGTTCTAAATTAGTTTTTGATCCCTTGTTAGGTTTAAATAAATTTTATGTTTATAATTTGATTAACTACTAAATAGTTGTATTGATTTGTTTACTAATGTTTTCAGAATAAATGTGTCTTAAAGAGAATTGAGGAATAAGTTTGGTGTGTTGTGTGATTGTGTGTTTTTTCGCTTTTCCTCACACACTCTGTTCCGTCCAATTTAAGTAGGAGTGAAAGACTACTCCCTTGTGTGGTTTTCACCTACGTATGAGATAGTGGATCGCTCTTGGGGCTCACGCCTTATGGTCCTCATGATGGTTTTGACCTCCGTATGGACATAAGGTGTGTCCCCTAGAATTAAACTCGATCCAAAAGCCTGTGATGGGCCAGGATTGAGGGTCTGGATACCCAAGGGGGCACCGACAAGGAAAATTCAAAAACCTTTTGTTTTAGAGTTGAACCCAACATATAGTGAACCAAGA